GAAGAGTGTGTGACTTAAGTTTAGGAAAGTGAAATGAGTGTTGTAACTAACTAATATTGTAATTGCTGAGACTTAAGTGTAATATGTTCATGAGTTTTCTAATCATTCATTTTATTTAACTAATTGATACATTTTTTTTGCTAGACTTTGAGCTTTGATACACTTTTTAATTTTGCACAATGGGGTTGAGTGGCAGTGCACGATTTTTCTTTCCATGCATTTGTTTTTAAACATTACCTATCAATAGTTAACATGGTTTGTTAATATTGCAATCACTGAGATTATATACTTTTTGAATTTCAGCCGAATTCGAATGAGGCCAACCTTCACAATTAGAACAAGAAGGATTGATAACCTGGGTAAAAATAATAGTGATGCTAATATATATATATATATAATAAAATAAAAGAATTCCACCATGCCTTTAGGCACAGCCATATACTAATATATATATATAATAAAATAATTCAGCTATGGCTACTAATGTAATATAATAAAATAATAGTGAGTGAGATAGGAGGGTTTGATTTGGGTGAAATTAGAGTGTGGAATTAAGGAGAGAAATCATTTTTCAATGTCACAATATGCACTTCATGATATATACAATCCCACTACATTCCCTAATTGAGCCCCCAATTTCAACCCAATGCTATGGATGAAAAAGGAAAGTTTATATCTTAGTTGCAAAAGAAGTGCATGTGTTTCACGCAATTCTTACAAAAAAAATTAAAAAACAAATTAAAAAAAAAATGCTTGCTCAGGCTCAGGTTCTCTCTCTCTCTCTCACGGAGAAGGAAAAAATGTTGAGATTCTCTCCCTCTCCGGTGAGTCTCACCCTTTCCAAAGTGTCCCCTCCTCCGACGTAGCTCGATCTCCGATTTTTCTCGCTCTTTAGCTCTTTGTTTTTCTCACTATCCAACTATTAAATTGGAAAAAAATATATCTATATAATAAGGGAGGAAGGTTTTTGAAAATGTATAAAATGTATGTTAGATACATTTCATTTTAAGGGCTCAGATCAATTGTGATATACATCAATGGTTGAAATTTTGCTTCAATTCCCGCCCAGACACTCAGTGCTCTCTCCCACCTACCCACGTCTCCTCCCCCATTCCATCTTTATCTCTTCTCTGTTGCACGTCTCTCTCTCTCTCTCTCTCTCTCTCTCTCTCTCTCTATATATATATATATATATATAGAGCATATTAACTATATGCTATAGAATATACCTCATATATTTTTCACGCCAATAGTCTCAATATTTTGATTCTTATGTTATTTTGGTCATTATTATTTTAATTTACTTGATTTTGACCTC